GATCGAGCCGAAACACTGGGTACCAACACTACAGACTCCCCGTGATGCAACGGGCCAGCCCCACTCGTCAGGCAAAACGCACACTCAACCGCCGACAGCCTACGTTGTACTTCCCGGCGGTGCGCCGAAATCCTAAATGCCTTTACGGTAGCGATGGTCACGCTAAACCAACTGGGGCCTTCAACAATAACAGGCGTCTCTAATCGGCTCAATACACAAATGATACCTAACGAAAAAACACACCAAACATACTTCCCGCATAGTATACACGCGCGCTCGGATCTTACACTTACAGCCGACCAATATCGTCCCCTACCTATGACGCCATTCCTCGCACTCACACTAATACACTACTTAAAACAAACTACGTATAACCTAACACCCACATTATACACTCCGAGCTTGAGATCGTGACACACTGCCTACGCTACTCCACCCACCGCTCTTCACCTGAAGCACATAGTCTAACCCCATCTCTCCCCACCCTCGGGGTTACGGAAACCTCGAAAATCTTCCAAATTGCCGCGACTGTTCGAGCCACCCATCCTCACAACACTGCCTAAAAATAGCGAGGCATCGTACGGGTTTTCTGACGGCAGCAAATTCTACAAATCGCTACTGCTGGTTTACACAATCTCGAAGATGTCGCATGCCTACCTCCTGTCCAATCCTACCTATTTGCGACTTATTATTTGAACGTGGAAAGCTGGTCGCATCTACGATCGAAAGAGTCAATGTCGCAGCTCAACTGCACCACAGCACCCATCCTATTTCCACCCCTCCAGGGGTTCGATAGCACGGCACCCAACCCACCCCCCCTGCTAATTCTGATTTAGAAGTTCAAAATACATAATGACCGTTTGCAAGGTCTCCATGGGCGGTATGGGCCGACTCGCCTCCCTGCTCTTCTTTTCTTATACACACGCCGCACTCACACTCCCCCCCCCCAACCACTCACACACTCGCTCAACAATTATACAAAGACTTTTTTCACTCGCAGCGGGTGAATAGCAGAAGACAAACACCCCATCGTAGAGCTCACTGCAGAGAGCAAATGCAGACCGAACACCATCTGGATGTCACGCACGTTTCAAACAATAACACCCACCAAGACCCCTCTTTCACGTCCTCATACTACCCGCCAGCGCTACTCCACTCCCCCCTCTACTTCCTTTCTAGAATCAACGCAACTCACAAACCCCCCACACCAACACTATCCACGCTTGCCAACACCCCTCGCAGACTTATTCAGCTTCAGGGTGAAGCAGCGACACCCATCTAAGTCACTCGCAGAGAGAATCTGGAGCAACGTCTGAAATACAGTCTTCAAAAAAATAAACAGACCTTTTGAATCTCATAATATCGAGCTCGTATCCGTCTTGTTTGTATCCAAAAAGTTAACGCATTTTTAAATTACATTGAAACCAGAAAATTGTGCCGCGCCTTTTTTTCTTTTAAACAGTGAAAGAAAATTGGATAGTGTTAGATGAGATTATTGACCCGCAGAAACTGCAAAATGTCGCCCCGGTTTTGACATTGGAAACATCTGGTCAACCTTAAGGTCCACGCAGACAGGCTGGGGACATTTGTGGGAAAGTCAGCGCAACACCTCAGCCCACGGGTTACGTGCCGCAAAATGCATCTGCAGCATCAGGGGGCAGCTCAGTTTCGAGCACTGCTTGAGTTGGCACATAGCTGCCAACGATCCATCACGCACGCACGCACCGCACACACACACACACACCCGCCCCCACACCACAGCCGCAGCAGACACACATTCACACACCCCGCCCACACAACACACCATTCATGTATTGTATTAATTGCGTATGAGAGAGCGGTCTCCAGCGGTGCGAATATTTGTAATGTTCAGAGGTTGTTGTGTTTAATATTCATGAGAATATTTGTCATTGTTCAAATGATAATAAACATTTGCATAAAGCATATTTGTCCCCTCATATGTTGATAAGAGTATTAAAAACTTGAAAAATATTCCTCTAAGGTACATTTAGAACAGATAAAACATTTGCGATTAATTTGCGATTAATCGCGATTAACTATGGACAATCATACGATTAATCGCGATTAAATATTTTAATCGACTGACAGCCCTATTAAATACATTTGGTGTATAAAGAGAGCTCTTCTTTTACTAGATTGAAATGTCGAATTATAACTGCTTCCTTATTTTGTAACCTGTGTTCTATTTCTTGTCTCGTGCAGAAAAGCCTGTCGTGTACCCCGGTATCGCCATCTTCTTCCAAAACGCGTTCATTTTCTTCGGGTAAGTTCCTCCCCAGCATCATCCTACAAACCATGCTTATTTTCTCACAGATTTTTGGGGGAAATATTTGTCTCACACTGTCTTCTTTTCTCCTTAGGGGTTTGGTCTTCAAGTTTGGCCGTACAGAGGACCTGTGGCAGTAATGGACTCTGTGTGTCTTTGTGTCCACTGTTTATACACTCTGCTTTCTCTATTGTATAAGACAATATGCTTTAGTGGTTATTCACTTTATATACAAACTTTTTTAGCTTTCAAATTAACTTGTTTAATTTATATTGTTTGCTGTATAATGGAACATCTTTAAATGTGTCTATTTGCACTCAACTGTTTAGCCATGTTTGTTCTAATGTTGTACAGCTTGTGTTTCTTGGGAGCTTTATTTCTCTGAACTGTCCACATTTAGTTTGGGAATACTTACTTTTAACATCTTTTGAATCTGGAAAGTCTTTTGAGTGGACACAGCATACATTATTATGGTACAAACCATCATTGAGGGCAATATTTCATAATACTGTACACATTTACTGAATGTAACCATATGGGTTGTTTTTGACTGCAACACCTACCTATTTGCTTGTGTAACAGCAAAACCATGAGGTGTGTTTCTTACAACTGTGGCAGCATTAAACAGCAACATACCGTGCAGAAAACAAGTCTTGCATTCATTCATGCTTTTATGTTTTATTTTTTTATTTTGCACATATAAAAAACATCAAGATACTTTTCACTCAGTAAGCAAAATGGTGTAAAATGATATATATCAATATGAATGGACACCAAAAATAGCTTTCCAGAATCTTGGTCTTCTTACTTTCGCACTGCAAGATGGGGAAACTGCAAAACAGGAAAATATGTTGTTCAATGCTGTACGATGAAACGTTTTTTTAAATTATTTACTGCTTTGTGAAATGATCAAAAATTTACAATACACATTTTCAGTGCAGTTATACAATTGTTTTTAGCCAGATTATTGCTTAAAAAGTAACTGTTGTTGGCCTACCTCCCAGAAAGCCTGATCATCAAAGCACTTCTTGTCTTGGGGAGGCCTCCAGAAGTTCCACTTGAGTAGGAGCCCTTAAAACAATGACATATTGAAGTAAAAAAACACGTTTAAATGGAAGGTAGACCTGCAACGATTAGTATACTAATTTATAAGTTGATCAGAAAAATAATCACCAACTTTCTTTGGTATTATTGGTAGTTTTTATGCAAAAATTGTAATACACGTGTTATTTTTGTCTATTAAATTTGGGGATTTAATGCTTTTAAAAAATATATATTATATTAAAAATGAATATAGGGTTTTAAACTGACCTGTTAAGCCCTGAGCCTGTTTTTCAGGTCTCATGCTCGAAAATGACATTCCCAGAACAAATGACTATATCTTCCCTTCTAAAAGGGTTAAATGAATAATATTTTTTCTCAAAGAAAGGTTGCATCAGTGAGTTGGATTTAGAAGTGTCAGAATCAATATAGATGTCTTTATTTTAAATTAAATTCAGATAACAGTAAAAAAATGTAAATTATTGTGTCCGTCCAAAAAAGAAAAATTACTTATAGTGAAAACCACCCTTGAATGATGGGATGGTAGACTAAAAGCTTTAGGAATCCAAACTATAACATATAAGTACCCTGTATCAAGGTTGATGCAAAACAAGTGAAATTTGTCCTTTCTACAGAGATTTAGCACAAAGAAAACACTTCTGGGGTCATTTGGGTGGATTTTCCATATCTCTGGCCCCCCTTGGTCGATTTTGATGATTGACATCTCTTTCTAACCGTCAGAGCCAATGGAATATAGGGGAACTCCCACATACACACACACATTACCAAATAAGGAGTGAGAGTGATGCATAGCCAAAACCGGAAGCTGCGATAACTCTGGTTGCTACCACAATAGATATATATCTATGGCTACCATTAGCAGCTAACTTTTACTCTCCGATTTTTACATAAAAATGGAATTATGGATTATAAATATTTTTTTCAAAGTGACAGACACATTCAATTAACCTATGGATTAACCCTCAGCCACGTTTTTTTTCGTTGTAATGCCATTGAACACAACTTTTGATCAGAATAACAGCTAAGGTGAGACAATGTCCCGTTTTTCCTCCGTAATGCTACGTGTTGTGATGTCTGTGTTTGCTTCCCCTGTGTGAGTTCAGATCGCTCAGTGATGATACTATACCTATATAATCTGTGGAGTCTCAGCTTTAATCGGATACCTTGTATGTGCAGCTACGATAAATAGGCTAATAAGGGTATCTTTATCTTGAGTTCTGTGCCAAAGTGCGTTAGCATTTTTCGCTCAGGGGTCATTTAGATGCTTCTTATGAGACTTGTGTTTTGTTTTGGTAAAAATGGTTTGTATCGTCAGTTAGCTGAGATTCTTCCCGTTAATCTGGTAGAACACATTAATAGGTTTTTAAATATTAAGATGCCCTGAGACACAGTGTCGTGAAAAAAAAAAAAAAAAGACCCGCCGAAGGGGTCTTTGGGGCTTGGGGTTTTTGAGAAACCAGGATGTGCATTTCCACTATTTTCAGATTTTCTTTTGTTGATTAATCCAGAAAATAATCATTAGTTTCAGTCTTAATGAAAACATACTGCCATATAGGGTTTTAAATATATGTTTTGGGTCACATTTCACTGTTGCTAGCATTCTGTTGTGACTGAATAATTCAAAATGGACCTTCTGTCTTCTTGTATGATTGAGCCAGACTGTTAATAATGGAAGCTACATGAGAGAATACCTACCTGTAATGATTCCCATGCACAGACTTAAAGAGATGGTAATGAGGAGAGAACAGATGTGAAATACAGCAAACCGGATTGCCCTGGGAAGAAAAGGACCAGTTAAACAGGTGATACGCCTTTTGACTGTGTAATGTGATCCTTGTGTTCTTACGTTGTGTGATCATCGCATTCTTTAATCTGTAGCAGGAGATGTGCCAGCCATCCCAGCAGACCAGGCAGTCTATGTGTGCTCAGGACAGCACAGGTGTCATGGCACTTAAACGCAAGCAGCATGTGGCTCTGAAACATAAGAGTTTATGATGAATCGGAATCAAGATACCTGTAAAAAATGTAGAAAAAAATATGTACAAGTACAATTACAAGTTAAAATAACAATAAATAACAAAAAAGGTAAAGTAAAATGTCCAGTAAAATATTAAATACAATTTCAAACAAATAATAATAAAATATATTTATATAAACAGGAAGTTAAAGTAAAAATGTGTATATTATCATATGAACAGTGTATTATCAATAAGATATGGCTAAACTGCACTGGTTTGCCTGCTTATGTCCTAGTGCCATGAGTTGTGATTGATGATTTTTCGTCCATGTGGTGATCAAAAACTTAAGATATCTGAATCCAATGGTGGATACAACAGCAGCAGTGAATCTGATCGCCATGGATTCCCATGGCTGATGAACCGGTGGCATGGCAACCCCAATAGAAACACCGCCAGCAAGCATGCAAGACTGCAAATGGATCTGAGAGAGAAGTGAGGATGTGTGGCTGTTATTAATTAGAACTATTAGAATTAGAGTGCTATTTGATTATAAGTAAAAGTCATTACGCAACATCCGATAACTGTTCCTGAAAGAGCACAACATTGTGTTATCATATATCAAGTGTCAGAGTACCGGGTTGAGTTTTCCCTTGGGGCTGGAGAGCGAAGACACAGCAGCTGCTGTCACAGCACTGACTGCCAGGGCCAGGAGGTGCTGAGCACGGCCCCCAGCCTCCTCCCAGGGGTACGATTATCCACTAGGATGGAGTTAAAACTGGGCCAAAACACACAGAGAAACAAAGCCCCTGTGGAACAGAGGTTATACATTATGCTTTAGCATGGTGGGTGCTTGTTGATTCATTGTTTCAACATGTATCTCTGTTTGAATAGCTTTCACACTTATTGCAATTATCCTACTCAACCCTATTCGTCAATAACATAAGGAAAACACCTTACCCAATATGGAGAACAATCCTGTTTTGCGATCAACTTTCTCTTTTTCAAATGGTTGCTCGGATCCTTTCCTGTACAGGATCCGGGTCAACATGAGCCCAAAGAAGGCCGCGAAAATGTGAAGCAGCATGATGCTGTTCAGAGGCGGGACCTAGAGTTAGAAAACATAATTAGGAACGTTTAAAAGTACTGCATGTGTATAATGTGAACATATTTGGCCACATGTAAGTTGAAGATGTATAGTGGCTGATACCTTCAGCAGAGTCTGGAGGAGCCATTCATTCAGTACAAACCCTGAGACCTCCAGCAGAGCGATGATGATCAGATGGACAGGGTTAGTCTTCCCCAGCACGACTCCAATTGAAATGAGGGCAGAGGTTGCACACATCTCCGCAACCACTAAGCTACATTAAAGGAGACACATTTTAGGGTTTCTACTTGTGTTTTGTTATTCCATTAGAATATATTTACATGCACAAACATTTTAAAAACCATATATTTGTTCAGTGGCTTGCAAGTGGCTTAGGCCTTGAGATACTCAGAAAAGGGCCGGAATATTAATGAGCCTGCATGTGACAAAATCAGGGGAGAAAAAACTGTATGGCTTGGTTCAACAAAATGGTTTACAGGTTGTTGGCACTCCTGCCCAGAATGCATGTCCTCTTTTTCCTATGGCTATAGATAGTGTAAGGACAAATGGTTTCTGTAGAGATAATTTGCTCAAAAAGATTTGACCTACCTTTTCAAGTCTATCCTGATCTTTCCTCTGTAATACCAGTTCTCAATGCCATTGAGTATGATAGCCCATTGGGTGGCTATGACAGCCACAAGGAGGTTGAACCCAGAGCCACTGAAACCATACCGCACCAGAAAAGTGCACATGTAGCCAAAACCTAGAATCACCATCATATTCACATCCTGGAAATCTGCAAGAGAAAATAATGCCAGATACCTGCATTTCAAATAATTTGTTCCAACCAAACAGCAACAAACAGGCTTGGGGCTTAAGAGGTTAAAGCCCCAAGCCTGTTTTTCAGGTTTCAGGCTCGAAAAGGACATTCCCAGAACAATGACCATATCTTCCCTTCTAAAAGGGTTAAATTAATAATCTTTTTTCTCAAAGTAATGATAAACCTGTGAGTTGGATGTAGAAAAGTCAGAATCAATATACCGTAATTTTCGGACTATAAGCCGCGCCTTTTTCCCCATTTTTCGACCCTGCGGCTTATATAACGGTGCGGCTAATCTATGGATTTTTACAGCTAACGGCCACTAGGGGACCTCCTAAATCTATGGATTTTACAGGTTACAGTCCACCACCTTTAACTCTATGGGCTCTATGGCCGGTCCGCGTCCCCCACCTTTAAGCGGCGGGCTCCAGCAGGAAAAGCTGGAGGCCGGAAAAGAGTGAGACAGGTAGCGCGCAAAAGTAAAAGTGGAACCGAGAGTGGTACGAGAGACAGAACGAGAGCAAGACAGACAGACATTACGAGAGCGAGACAGTTTGTCCCCGTACCACTGGTTGAAAACCACTGCTGTAGATCACTGCCGGTACGTGCGCTGGGAGCGCACCGTTTAAGTTTGAAAGTTGAAAAGTTTATGTGTCTGAAACGCTATGTGATACAGTACAGTTTACACAGCACAGTACATGTTCTGTAGCTACTATTGCACTAAATGGTAACACTTGAATACGTTATGCAAATATGCAACTTGTTTGTTGAAATGTTAATAAATGGGAGCTTCCTCAAACAGCCATCTCTTTCCCGACAATCCCCTGTGCACGAGCCCTTACATATGGTAATTAAACATTAAAACACCTGCGGCTTATAGTCCAGTGCGGCTTATATATGTACACATCATTCAATTTAGCTGCTGCGGCTTATATTCAGGTGCGCCTTATAGTCCGAAAATTATGGTATATAGATTTTTTTTTTTTGTTTTAAGTTTTTTGTAAAATATTAAAGTAAATTAAAATTAAAATTATGCAAATTTTAAAATATGAAATGTTCAAAATAAAAATTGTACAGTGTACAGTATAGTTTTGACTTTGAAGTATGAAAATTGAAATCTGTGGTGAGAATCTAAATCTACTGTGTACAGTACATACCGAAGTATATGAAATTATGCAAATGTCACAACTTGTGTTAGCTTCAATAAATTGGTGTTTGAAAATTCTACAGTCTAGGTTATGTTATTTATGTAAAGTTTCTCATCTTATAATTAGAAACCACTTTGCAATTCTATTCTGGCGATACCTGTGTTTGTTTATACACTTTAGAATAAACTTCAGAATGTTAATGTATCTTTCCCTAAGAGGTGTTCCCTCTGTGTAATAATTCTGTATTACCAGCGCTGTTGTAATTTCCAGCTCAATCCACTAGGGAATAGCTGTTGCAAAACTGACTTCTTTTTACAAGAAGAAGCTTATTTTCCTTAAAAATATCTTAAAAATGGGAAGAAAAATACACTATGGTTAAACAACACAGCACATAACCGCCAAAACACATTTGCAAACTAGAATATTCAAAAAACCGCCAATACACAGCTGCAAACAAGAATATCTCAAAAACCGCCAATACACACTTGCAAGCAGAAATACTTACACAATATTCCTTCCCTCCAAATACCCAACTTCCAACGGTAAGGTAGCCTGACTATTTTCTAGTTTCAACTCTGACAAGAAGTATGCTGTTCTTTACAAAATGGTATGCCTAGAAAAATGCCTCATCTCCTGCCACCAGCTGCATAAGCACAAACAAAGGAGTGCTTTGAATTTGCATTTCACAAAATGGCGACTGCCCTGTGTTTGTTAATCAACATGTGGGGTGTAAACAAGATGGCATCCGATTATTTCGAATTCTGACCTGTAGACAAAGAGATTTGAAAATAGACCATGTCAGAGAGGAGTTTAAACAATGGCAAGGTGATCTTTAAACGAACCAACAAAGTAAACCACTGGTGTGGTATTATAAAACCTGAAATACAAGCCAAAGCAACACTTGGTTTAAAATAATAAAATTTCTATCTAGTTGACTATAAAAATGGGCTTTATCTTATTGATATCATCACGTAGAGTTAGGAACCTTTACGCATAAGCAATAAACCTATCTACGAAATATTTGACTTTATAGTCCACTATTGGTTAACTGTTGCTATTTAGACACGTTAGGTGGGACCAATATTGAGACTTGCCAGCGACTACCTCACCTCACCTCACGATTCACACGATACAATGCTGCTGAAAACGGCCAATTACCGTAATCCCGCCTGCAATAGCGGGTTAAAACAGAAAAACAGTTTAACCACTGCATAAACGGCTTAGACCTTAACCAAGCCTTTTTTCCTCAAAGAACTCTTAAAAACAGTTCTGCGCACTGTTTTGCGGGACTGAGAGAGCAACTGACCTTCACGTACTTAACCCTGAGTTAACTCGTTTCTGTTTTTTTTCTATGCCTTCGTTGGTTTTCTCACTTACTCGCTGCTATAACCGACTCGTCTTAACAAAATCGTCAAATGGCATATATACCCTTACGTCATAGGCTAACAACAACTAACTACTAACCGTAACAAGAGACCTACGTGAAAACGAACAAGAACACCTATCCGAAGTACAATGAACCCACACACATTTATATTTAAAATTCAACACACAACACATCGGTTAATAGCATGCAGGGTTAAATAGAAGCAACAAATAAAAAGTGTGGACACTCACCCTGCCTGCAACAGAGCAGCGCCAATTTTTATAGAATTGTTATTGTTAATAAATTTGGTTTTGGTTGTTTTGAGATTAAATTATTGTACAGAATTGTAAAGGCATCCTAACATACGTATCACCAAAATAAAAATTCTGATGGAAAAAATAGTTGGCATAGTAACAGAGGGTGTAGTATTCAGATATCTAAATATGTAAAGTCCACTGAGACAAATGTAACATTTGGTGATATTGAGCTGTATAATAAAATTTGTTGATGTGATTTGCTGTGTTACTTTATTAGATTATTAGAAATCTGCATAAATTCTGCGCTACTTTTTTAATGCTCCTGTGGGGGATTGTCCACGTATTGAGTTATGGGGGAGGTCGTTTGGATAAAAGGTAGATAACAAGTGACATGTAATGTAATATGTAATGTAATGTAACTCGAACCCTGTCAGCATAAATCATGCTAATAAGAAGACGCCGCGCGCACCATCAGAATGGTGGCAGCATTGAACAAATTACAAAAGTAAAACAAGGTCTGCCAAAAAAACGTTTTTTAGAGATTTCCCTTAATAAAAAAGACGCACAATTTAGAAAGAAAACCATCCAATATGCCAACTGTGTCCCATAATACAGCAGGAATTAGCCTTCTATCACATAAAACACATTATTTTCCCCCTTTTTCTGTACAAAGCGTACTTTATTATTTATAATTGTAATATTATTATTATTATTATTATATATTTTATTATTAATTATCATAAATAACATAAACTTATAATATAATAAGTTTCTAATGTTTAAAGGTGTATACACGCATAGCAATACATAACACAGAAGATTAAATCTCCCGACAAATGGAGGGTAAAAAGATCATTAGAAAAAATCAGATGAAGACAGTCAGAACCTCACACCAGCAGACTTTGGAAAACTGAATCGTCCCCCTAAAACCCTCTTTAATAGTTCAAGCCAAATATTAAAGTGATTTTACACACACACACACACAACACACACACACACACACACACACAACACACACACACACACAATAACACAACAACAACACCACACACACAATATCATAGAGTCCTCTCACTTTCAAGTCTAATTTAGCTCAGGTGGTAGTTTTTTGGTCACCATTCAAACAAAATATCCAAGCCAACACCTTTATAATATTATTAATAGTATACAAACAGAGATAGTAGGAGGAATCATTCCCAAAGTATACCATAGACAATACAGTTCTAAAAAGAGGAGTGATTAGTAAATATGGCAAAATACGAAAAAGAAAAGATAGGAAAAGACTTAAAGCTCTAATGCAATTTTAAGGCATTATTATGGGTCCTCGAGATGTATAAAAATGTAAGACATGAAGTGTTTCGCAGCAAAAATACTTCAAACTGATCATGCATTTTATGCAGCATCTCGCTCATATCCCTCTGTTTCAGGCCTGTTTGGCCCCTACACACGGCGGCGTGCGCTTCGATGGAGAGCGCCAGCCAATCAAATCAGGTAAAGGTGCTGGCCGCCCGCCCCCTTTGGAGCATTCAGGCACAATTTGTTGAGCATCAAGAGAGATGAGTGGCTGCACTGACAGATTCCAGGCTAATGCTGCCGTGATGAAACGGCCATATNCACACAAACCCCCCCCCCACACACACACACACTTTGTATTGTATTATTGTATTGTATGAGAGACGTTCCAGGTTGAATTGAGGCGGATATTTTAAATGTCCAAAGACATTTAAAATATCCGCCTCAATTCAACCTGGAACGTCTCTCATACAATACAATAATACAATACAAAGTGTGTGTGTGTGTGGGGGGGGGGTTTGTGTGTGTGTGTGTGTGTGTGTGTGCGTGCGTGCGTGCGTGTGTGCGTGCGTGTGTGTGATATGGATCGTTGGAGCTATGTGCAACTCAAGGCATATGCTCGAACGGGAGCTGCCTGGACGCTGAAATCATGTTGAGCGCTCTATCCGTGCTGAGTGTGCTGACTTTTCGTACAATGTCCCACTGTCTGGCTACCTGCATAAAGTCAAGTGCTTGGCGCAGTTGTCGGCGAAATGTCGCTCCTCTGTTTTGATTTAAACAGCTCCTTATATCCGTTAGCGCAGCTAGCTAGCACCAGGTGCTAACAGCTATGAGGTGTGACTTGTGCCAAAGAACGAATTCACTGAGCTCACTAACGTGTCGATCGCCGTGACTATGCCGCGAGAGAAGTAACGTGACACTCTCGTCGCCACCCCTCTCGTCTGAGAAGCTACGTGAAGTCTGCGTCTGAAGTTACTTTACTTTGACCAAATAACCCAGTAATGTTTCAGCTACGCAGTTGCTGTTCAAGCGAGACTCTATTTCAATATAGTTTTGGTATTAAAATAATGTTACACCCCTTGTATGCCCTGCACGCAAAAACAAACACAGACAAGAATATATATTTAAATATGTATTGTTTTATGTTTAGTTGACAAAATAGTGACTGTGCTACATTTTGCTGCACTCAAGCATACATCTGAAGACAAGAGTTGTGTCTCTTTGGCCACAAGGGGGAGTATTGTAAATGTATATTTTGTATAGATGTTGCAACTGTACAGAGCTTTGGCAATACTATATGTAACTGAGGTCATGCTAATTGAATTGAGTATACCTTTAAGTGAGCTGTCAGGAGGAAACAAAGGTTCACCAACACATTGCACTCTACTTCTGAGAAAGGCTGTACAAAGACGTGAAACGATGTGCTGCAATGTCTGTGTATTTTTGAAGAATGCAAAGTAAAGGAAGAAAGTGATAACTCACACTGAGTCTTGATAAATAACTTTATTTCCTTATTTTCATTTGAGAAACACTATCCAATTATGTATTATTTCTGTGTTACACACACACCATTACTGAATTAATTCTAAAACCAAGAATTACATACAAGGACGGACAAAACAAGGACACCACACATGATTCTTTTCCAATTACAGTAGGCCTATATTTATTTAAGTAGGCCTAACTAAATTGTGATATCAGTCACTGTGGTTAGAAAATGAAGACGTGATTTTGTTTAGCTTTGTCTTATACCATTGGAATGATAAATAGTTAAATAAACATGAATAGATTAGATAGAACAGATTCATGTGTACAGTTGTTGGCTCAATCATTTGTAAATACATTTCAAAAGATGCATGAGAGACGTGGATCAAGAGAGGAAGGGGGCCCACAGAGAAAGCTTAAGGCCCTGACACACCAGGCCGAAATCGGCCGTTTTCGTTAGTCGGACGACGAAGCGTGCCCTGTCGCCCAAACTCAATTTGGTGTGTCCCGCACCGTCGGCCGTGACACGCCTTATTTGGCCTTTCATGGCCGACGCACGGCCGATTTAACATGTTGAATCGGCCGTGCGTCGGCCACAGGCAGTCGGACAAAGAAATCACTCTGATTGGCTGTACAGCTAGTGAATCAGTGCATGAGGCGAAACGGTTGCTTGAGAATGTCTTCCACAAGCAACACTCCAATGGCTGATAGCTCCAGTACCGCACGAAACATGTTTTCGATGGACGAGAGTGAAAATGGAATGCACACGCTATTTGTTGTTTGTTTATATCACGTAGTCTGTTCTTCTACTCTGTCTTCTGGTTTTTGCCTCTTTTGAATGACGAATACACACTACCGCCGCCTGCTGGTAAGGAGAGTTATTGCCACTCACGCATGCGCAGTTCGTACGTGCTCGGCTGAAGTCTTTGCGGTGTGTTCCAGTGCGACACATGTCCAAGACGCAGGAGAACACGCCGACGCAACAATCGGCGAGATCTCTGGTGACTGCTTGGTGTGTCAGGGCCTTTATGGCCCGGAGTTTTGTGCTACGCCTCTGCTCATCCGTATGTCAAGGGTATTTCCAACCTAGGCTAAGTATTTTCTTTGCGTTCAGGTCAATGCAAATAAAGATATACCAAAAATGATTTTTCTAAAATCTGCTTCGCTATGCTGTTGCTGAGTCGCTGAAAAAATGAGCTCATCAAATCTCATCCTCGAATGTTATTCTGTGGTGTGGTTGCTTATACAGTAAGGTTATATGTGTGCAGGTGTCACCTGGAGAGAGAGATGTGAGAGACGAGATCATTAAGACGATTAGGACGAGAGATGAGAGAGATGAGGATGAGGAGAGAGAGACACACACAGAGACACACAGCGGAACAGAACCAGAGAGCACAGACCACACAGAGAGAGAGATACCAGTCACCAGAGAGAGGACGATACACAGACACAGAGATGACAGAGAGAGAGAGGCCAGAGAGAGAAAGAACACACACGGGAGAGAGGAGGACGACGAGAGATCACCCGCCCGACGCAGCGCAGCCTGGCATATACCAGGCAGGTTAGCAAGAAACGATGGGCTGCAGAGAGATATTAGGGAGCGGATCATGCAGACAGTGGGATGGAACTCTGGAGACAATCAGCACTCCGTCACACATGCCAACATATATGAAACTGTAAAGAGAAAAACAGAATGTCATTCCCAAAGCTCGGCACTGACAACTCCAATCATAAGCTACCCTCAAATATTCTAAAGAACGGAAATGAATAACTAAAGAAATACGTCTCTGGGAATACCTAAAGAGAGGTCATTGTTCGAAGACAGTTTGGGCGGCTCCAGCGCATTTGACGGGAATCGGAATGCGGCAGATCCACCAGTCTCCCATTCTTAATACCCGTATAATATCCATCATTCATTGTTATTAATGTTTTATGGATCATGAATGAATAGAATCTGTATTCTTTGCTAAACAAAAAACATGCTCTTGCAAGTTTTTTTATAACTCTTATGTTTATTTATTTTTTTGTATAGATGTTGCAACTGGTCAGAGCTTGGCGAGCATCCTGTATGTAAATTCATGCTTAATAGCTTTGAATTGAGAGACTACCCATCTTAATGAGGCCGGAGACTTAAGTCTCCACGGCGCAGTATGCACGACGCACGTCATTCACACGCTGTGTTCATTTGACGGACGGTTTTCTCCAAGCTACGCCGCCGCCACTGTGGCGCCTATTTGACGTGGCCGTGAGCTTGAGCGGTACTTTGAGCGCACCTGATGATACGGTCGCCGTGACCGTCTGCAAGCCCCCAGGAATGTGCGCGGACGCAGAGTCGAAATGTATTGGTGGTGCCAAACGCGGTACTCATTCGCGTTTGGTTGCAGGCCCGGAAACACTTTTCCCCATGCTTACTATGGAAAGAATGTCTTTAAATCGTGATATTTTTTTAAAACTAAATAAAGCTACCCAGTGTGAACGCACCTGTATGCCCTTATAAAAACTTTTGTTCCCCAAGTGTAAAAATGTGCTAGTACGTGGTATCTCTTGCTTATGAGGAGTTATTTCCCTGCATTATGAACGCGCATCTACACGGAGCGTAATAATGCGAATATATTGCCCATGTTGCTGGTAAATCTCATTGTAAAAACTACATGGTGTATATGGTCAAATCTTTTATTAAATAAATTAATTATTCCGGCGTAGTATTAACGTCCTTAGCCTCTTATTGCACTTGCAATATCCATAAAGAGTTGAAACGTTCGCTGTGCTATACTATTAATACCACGCCAGTGATAAGCAAGTTTCATACCCTTTGCATGGGCACCCAACACGTTTTGACCCAGATTAATTAGCTATAGGCCTCCACTGATGATATCGCCGAGGACAGAGTTGTATTAAACAATAAAGGTTAGATAAAAATATGCAAAACATGTTTTTTTTGTTAAGATACAGATTTCTTGCATATAATCGATTAATACAAAATAGAGATACCTTTATACTGTGTAAGTAAACTGGTATATGTCATAGAGCTCCTAATTCCGTTCGCGCTTAAAAGCTTGTATTAATGTTCTAAGGACTTACAAGACGTGCCTGCAAATGCAATGCTAATATCTGCTTTATTACCCATGCAATAAGTATTTTTTTTCCATTTCTTTGAAATATTGAGGATCTTTATATGATGAGTTTGGGAGATTTTTCCTTACAGGTTCAAAGTTGGTTTTTGGATTGCGCTTTTCTCCCACTAAGCATTCTCCTCCACTAACTGTTGGCAGATCGCTACCTCTTTATGGCAGCATTTTTCTTGACTCCCGTTTCTCATGCTCAAGGCTCGACGTCTCTCTCTTTGTCCTCTCTGTCTCTCCCTTCTCTCGTGTGTCTATTCTCTCCTCTCTCTCTTTCTCTCTTGTCTGTGTCTCTCTCTCTCTGTGTCTGTGTATTCTCTCTCTGTGGTCTATGTGTCTCCTTTAACTGTTGTTATGTCATGCTTGTATCTCTGTTTGGTTCCTTCGCCTCCTTTTGCTCTCTATCGTATCTTTCTCTACACCTCTCTTCTAGATCTCATCCTCTGCATGTTCTCCAGAGAAATCACAACGCTATCAATATACTTTATTATATAGTGTCGTTGCTCTATTTAAGAGATTGTTTATCATGCTTCCCAGGTATGATTTCATGACCCAGTCCTATTTTCATCTCCTCGCAAACTGCATAGCGAAAGCAGATTTAGAACGCATTTTGGTTATGATCTTATGCAGGTGACCTGAAAAGCAAGAAAAACTTAGCCGTATTTGGAATCCGTGACAGTACGAATTAGCAGAGGTAGCACAAAAGCTCCTAAGCCCTACACCAGCGGTCACCGTGATCTCGCCTGTTTGTTTTTTTTTCTTTTTTTTCTTTGCTTTCTTATTGTCTTTCTATCACCTCAAAAGATTCATTGAGCGTAGAATGCGAGATGCCAATCATAAAAGCGTCAACATGAAGCAGGGCTAAACCAATCTCTTTCAGCGGGCGATCGTGTTAATCAGTTATTAAGTACATATGTTTTTTATTGTTGTTCGCTAGTGCGTAGTCTGTAAATTCTGGCCCATGATAAGAATCTATCG